CAAAAAAAAGACAACAAAAAAACTTCGTAATTAATGTTTGTTTAAGTTTTGCTGTGCTCTTTTTGTGTTAATGTTAGTTTTTTGTTTGTTTGATTGTTTTCGTGTGTACTTGTTCGGTGGATTGTGGTTGTTTTATTTTTTCCCATGGGAGTGTGCAAGGGGAAGGGGCTGCCTTTAGTTGAGTCTTTTTTTTTTAATCTAAAGAAAAGAGTACTGCATTGTTTGTGATTTTTAGAACATGCTTTTATTTGTTTTTAAAAACGCAATATTTCATTCATTTTCTCAAAGCCCTAGATGTGCTCATTGTCACATTTTTACTTCAATTAAGACAACATAGAATAAATTAATCTCTATCGATCGTGTCCATTCATAGACCAGCAGAGCAACAACAGAGGGATTAAAATTGTATCAATATAGGGGCGAGAATGCACATTTCCCGTGAGGGGTATTCTAAGTCTCTCTCTCTCTCTCTCTCTCTCTCTCTCTCTATCTATCTATCTATCTATCTATCTATCTATCTATCTATCTATCTATCTATGTTCTTTCATTTCTCTATCACTCATGTGGCCTGTGGTATAAATCTTAAGCTTTTCATGTCTTCGAATCAAACGGACACAACATATTATCACAAGCCTCAATCTTTCTCTGGAGACGTATCCCACACAGTCTGCATAGGCTCTGATAGTGATAGACAGGGTAGAAGCAGCTCGCCTCTTTTTTTTAAATCCAAACATTTTATGTGAAAGTAGGCCACTTTGGTCGACTAAATCTACCGAACCTCTTAACTTTCGAATGTGGAGAAAGACCGTCTTCTAAGACGCCGTTGTAAACAAGTGAGGCTTTCGTTCACATGCAGTACGCAGTGATTCCACAATGGCTTGACGATATCGTGAAAGAAAGCCATACGGACAAGTACGGATGGATATGGATGGATGAGTGGATGGATGGATGAGTGGATGGATGTCTGGCTGGATGGATGGATGAATGGACGGCTGGATGGATCGATAGATGGGCAGATGGATGGATAGATGGATGGAATGATGGATGGACAGATGGATGGGTGGATGGATGGATGGATAGATGGATGGGTGAATGGAAGGATGAATGGATGAATGGATGGATGGATAGGTGGGAGGGTGGGTGGATGGATAGACATATAGATAGATGGATAGATAGCATCTGCACATCTGCGTTTATCTCTGTCTTTCTGCCTGTTTATTAGGATGTCCCTGTCTCTGAAGCGCGCCCCCCCCCCCTTTTTGTCTAGTCTGCCACTGAGTACCTCCCTAAGCCCCATAGCCATCCCCCCCCCCTCTCTCTCTCTCTCTCTCTCTCTCTCTCCCTCCCCTCCATTCTTCCTGTCGGTCTGTCTGCTTGCCCGCCTGCCTGCCTGTCTGTTTTATTCCTGTGGCATGCGGTATAAAGCTTAAGCTTTTCATGATTTCGAATCAAACGCACAGAACATATTATCACGAGTCTCAATCTTTCTGCCGAGACGTATCCCACACGTCTGCGTAGGCTCTGACAGACAGGGTAGAAGTAGCTGGCCTCTTTTAAAAAATCTAAATGTGTCACGACGTGGTTGAATTAGGCGCTTGTCAATTTTGGGGCATGGGGAGGTATTTGTATTATTTCATAGCTTATTCATTTGCCTTGCTTTCCCCGTAAAAAATATATCTTGAATAGAAGTCGATGTATTTGCGGTTGAAGGAGGTGGGATCGCCTGGTTTCAGTGCTAAAATTAGTGAGAGAATGGCTGCCAAATTGTGTGAACGTATAGCTTGAGAGTCCATGAAAACTGAAAAATCACATATTTTGTGCCTTTAATAAACGTTTTTCAGTAACATTCGCATTGAAATGAGTTATTATAGTGACGTAAAAGGTGTTAAGCAGAAAAACAAAAATTCGATAAAAATTGCCAAACTGGCGAGAAAATGCCTCTTTCTTCAATTTAACTATTTTGACGAGCGCCTTATTTCACCATGGTGCTTCACAAATAGCCCATAAAGCAGCAGAGAGTATTGAATGGACTGGAACTGACGTCCACGCAGACTCACTCTGCTCCCACTGCTTCAAAGTGACAGGTGAAATAAATAAACCTAACTTCCAAGGATTCACGGTTGGGTTCCCTGGATGGATGAAAGCATTTTTCCAGTTTTACAGGTTTTTGTAGTGAAGTAGCGAATAACAAACGGCCCCCGACCAATGCTTTAATGTCAACAATGAATGGTTTCCATTTCTCGGAAACGGCTACTTTGTAAGATAAAACAGGTGAATAACTCTGCCAGAAACGTGGACAAATCCATCCACATCATCGTCAAAAAGAAAATAACAGCCACATCAACAAGAATGAGAAGAACGAAAAAACCCTCACTAAAGGCAACAGCTAGTCCAGTACCAATAAAAGCGTACTCTTGGACAGGCATGTTTGCGGCCAAATTGACTTTTTTAATATAGTTTTAGTAAGAGTTTTACGGCATTTGCAACACAATAAGATCATAAAAGTGAAGAAGGTTAGATGTTTTACAAAGAGTAACAAACACAAAAAGGAGGAGAGATCAGGACGATAGATGCTTGATAGGAAAAAAGGAGCAAACCACACCAGAGCACCCTCCAATCATTCATCAGCAAAGTGAACTGGCCAACATAAATGGTGCTCTAAAAGAAATTTAAAGAATACATAATTTGTCAATTTGTCTTGCAGACAACTATTTCCTTTCACAATATTTAAGTACGAAAATACACTGTTCGGCTACTGTATGTCTCAAAATCCATTTCTTGAACCCTTCCTAGATATCCCTATAATATAATATTCTTTTTTTCGTTCTCTTCTTACCCTGCATAAACGAAAACAACTTTTAAAAAAGACGAACACACGGATGTACAAATACAGAAAGAAAAGTAGTTAGGTGTTTAAAAAAAGTTATAGTAAGCTTTTAGGGCGCTCGCAACTGCATAAGGTCATATGAGCGCCAACGGGTGGATGTAAACAGAGAAGTCTGCACGGGTAATCAGGTTTACTCTGTTCATCTCTTTAGTTTCAACAGCACAAAGTCTGCTTCACTATCAAGGCATCCCAGAAATAGCAGTTCACAAGAGAGTAACAAGAATATATAATAAGTAGAGGAAAATAACGATAGTAAGGATCAGGAAAGAAAAAGAAACAGTTCCCCCAATGTTGTTCCGGCACAGCATGAGCATGACATTGATAAATTAGCACATTTACAATTCTACTGTGCATGAAAACTAGTTAATATCCCTGCCATACACAAAAAGGGGGGGGGGGTAGTAAAAGGCCAGTCAGCATCACTTATCCACAGAAAAAAGGTTTGTTTGTTTATTTGAGTAAAACGAAGCTCATCCGACACAGTAAAGGCCACCTAATGCTGGGGGGAACAAGTAAAACAGACACGCAGAAACAACAGAGGGAAAGTAAAGACGTACACGACCTACCAGTGGCGCCCTCTAACCACCCGCCCAGAAAAAAAAGATAAAAAACTAAAGAAAGAAAGACATACAGACAGATAGAACAAGAGAAAGAAAAAAAGAAAGAAAGAAAGAAAGAAAAAAGAAAGAAAGAAAACAGCAACAAGGAAAAAAAAGGAAGAAAAAAAAAAAACAGAAGTAAGAAAAGAGAATTAACAAGAAAGAGGCTAGCTGTATAATAATAAAGGTCTATATTTGACAGGAAGGTAAGCGCTCTCAGCAGAATCCTGAATGCGCACGTAGGAGAACAAAGGAGAGACGCTTGGACGCTGACGGAAAACAGACACAAATGATCTTCAAACGCGTATGAAGTGGTCAGACTCTGGTCCAATCAGTCCCATCTTGCATTGTCTGGCACCGTAGGTATAGCCAAAGCGCCACATCTTGTTGGAAATATGCAGCTAAAAGCAGGCGTAGTAAGATGAGCAAGATTCGGAACATTTGTCAAAATCTAAGAGGTCTGGAATTTTCTTCGGGATCACAATTTGGAAGAGTGAAGCCTATGAACATGTATAAATTTTGCATAATTTCAATTGGATTATCTTTTTTGGTTTGGTGCAAGCTTTTATTTTGTCTTTAATGTGGTTGATCATTAATCATTCGCTCCCCCCCCCCAACCCCTCTGCCAAAAGCACACACACACACACACACACACACACACACACACACACACACACACACAAACTCACGCACGCACGCACGCACGCACACACTCACATAGGGGGCTCTCGTGGCCTAGAGGTTGAGGTGTTGGCCTCTCATTCAAAGGTATCGGGTTCGAATCCGGGTAGAGACCGAACAATTTTCTTCTCTAAATTTGTCTCCTTTCACCTCCTTTCCTGCTCTCTAGCAATGTTCTGTTGTCTGCTTTCGTTTCCACTTTCTGCCCCCACCCCTTACCTCCTTTGCCCCCTCCTCTGGGCTCCTGACTCTTTCTGCAGCCTTTCTATTGCTACTCCTTGGCTCCTCCTACTGCTGTCTTTCTGCCACACCCCTGATCTTCTGGTAGGAAAGATCTACACCTAGCCTTCTCGGACAAGGGCGAAAAATCTCAGAGGGCCCGTGTGCAAGT